TCTTTCTGCCAGTGACTTGGATGAGTTGAAAGAGCTTCCGGCAGTTACCAGATGCAGCTGTTGCTTCCAGCTCATTATCACACTCCGACCACCAGGCTTCTCAGTCCTTTCGAAAGCTTTGCCCAGTTTCATTACGTAACAGCCATCGTTTGTGGTCAAACTCACGGTGACCCGGAGTAGACGGACGGGCTTTGATCAGTTGTAAGGAGCTAGAAGAAACCCAGTGCTTATAAGCCGGACGTTTCGCGAAGCCGCAAGTGGTTTTACTCGCCATTTTCATGACGTCATGCAATTGCAACCAATGCTCATCTATACTTCTCAGTGGGATGGTAGCTAGCCTAGAAGCTAGCTCGGTTCGATACTCACTTGCGACAGAAGTTGCAACCAATTTACTGACATCGATCATAAAGGACGATGAATTTGTTGGTCACTGAAACGTAAGGTAAAATTAACACAAACAAGGGCATAATCGGAGTCCAGATAGGTACTCTGAAAGGAGCGGTAGTTTTGCACACAACCACGCCAGCAGTAGCTGATCGCAATGCGATCAATCTGAGTCCAGGCTTGAGATGCAGAGGGAGGACACCAGGCTGCACATTAGCGATGAATGTCTTGGTAGTTAGTGCTGACCAGAAACAGGTTGTAGTCTGTTCTTAGTTGCAGAAGACGGTTTCTGTCCCGACCAACAAGTCCCCATCGGCCATCTAGACGACTCTCTTCTGTGCCTAGACACCCGACCTGCGCATTCAAGTCTCCGGCTAGTACTACAATATCTGTCGAAAGCAATTTCTGGAGAAGAACAGTTAACTGGTGGTAAAACTCATCTTTGATCGCATCCGGGCTGCAAACAGTCGGGGCATAGGCGGAAATGACAAAAAGGCATTGTTTCTCACACAGATATCTTCTCACTTTGATGGAGTTCCCTAATTTAACAGCACATAACCGACTGTTAATGGGGATCCAATCGATTAGTGCTGCCTCAGCTCTAACGCTTAGTGCGACACTAACGCTGGCGAAACCGGACGAAGATGCCGCAGGGTCCCCGGATAGATGCACGTAAAACAAGCCTTTTGAAGCAAGAGATGAAGAGCGAACTTTTTAAAGACATTGCCAGCCCTATCTGTTGTCTGATCTGCATTAATGTGCGAACGTTAAAGTAAGCCTGTTTGAATGGTGTACGTGGTTCAGAAAGACTGGTTCAGTATACGTATTCGGTGGAAGCATTCACTTTCGACCAGACACTCACTGGAGATCGCTTAGATAAAACAGAGTTTGCATCATGGACGAGCTGCTGCATAAGTTGAAAAATGGGATTACATGAAGTGGGAATAGAGGAAGATAAGTGGCGTAGTATAATAAAAAAAAATGATAATACTAGTAATAATACTAAAAGTGAGTGTTATCAAATGAATGAGAAATGTCTGAATTCTAATTCGAGCGAGCATAGTATTCCATGAAGTAATTGTCATCTCATAAGATTTGTGTGAAGGCTGTGGTACAGCTCAAGTGCCCAGACAGAAGCAGGTGGTTTACTCAGGGGGCCACACCCCGAGCCTTTGACCTAAAGGTCTGACCCACAAGGCAGTGCAGCGTCGTGAGGAGATGCAGTCCCGTGGTAGCCAGTGACCAACAATTGGTTCATACGCTATTTTTTCCCTTAGGATCATGCAGCCCACGTGCCCTATTGGTTTGGAATCAAGGTTTTCCAACTTCCTTAGGTGAAGAAGAAATTAAAAATAAAGGATATTTTCAAAAAACGTTGTGGTAGTTTATAATCATTCGGTTGTTGGTATTTCAACAGAAATTCGATCATTCTTATTTGGCATATGTACATCCGAAGTCTCGGAGTGAACATGAACTGTGGGATGTGGTGAGTACATACAACTGACTAGTCTGAAATAAGACAAAACGTGTTTCTTCGATTCCACTGTTGTGCATATTTGGTCTATCCTTTGTAGAAGATATATTTCGTGAAGAAGGGATACATTCGTAGAATTAGATATACAAAATAATGTTGTCTCAGTCAGTCAGTCGGTCAGTTATAAGCAAAATAGGACCTGGTAGAAACAGGTGGATCGGTTGGTGTAGTCACATTATATAAATAATATTAGGTACTTGTTAGTATTCAATATTCTAATAATATTGGAACATGAAATGAATAGGGAAATCAAACCTGAATAAATTTACACGATTACTGCAGATTTTCAGTCATATAGCTTAAATTCTCCAACTAGGTAATTTGAACCTTCGAGTACCGTTCGGACTAACTGTCAAAGACTTCATAGATTGATAATATATTGGTTTTGTCACTTCTAACTTTATGTCAACTGATTATTACATCTCCAGAGTTTTTCATGGAGATGGATGGTTATAATTCATTTGTAACAGGTGTCTCACTCCCTACACCAATGAAGATTTTCTGTTTCATCAATATTCTTGTCAAAATCACTTATTTTCTGAGCCTAACATCAGTTCTGATCACTCGAAATGCTTCACCATACGTATTTAATACTTTATAGTCATTAGTGGTCAGATAAAGGTTATCTGCTCATGTCTTCGATTTCAAGTCCTATGTTTCATAGCTATAAAGTAGACCGGAAGAGTTGTTGCTTTGTATACTCTTCTTTTGGTTAGTAAACGAACGTCTCATTTACGTCAGACGTGACAGGAGTTAACAATATCGTTTTAATGAATAGACGATTATTTAGCCTGTCTTATGTGGAGCATGTTGACAAAAACCGAATTAGTTTTTTTCAATCCTTGCCACGATTGCGTCAAATGCCAACAAACCGACCCCAATGAATCTTTCAAGATAACTGAAGTGGTTGATTTTGGAGACAGTAAATCAGTTAAAAAGAATTTGAGCATTCGCTAACTGATGTGTATGAGGCATGTATTTTATGCATACCTAACTACCAATTACTTAAGCTTGTCATCCCTACTATTATACGAGTACATTTGAAATATTAATAACACAAATCCATTAATCCATCGTATATTGGCTGTTTGAATTTTCTCATTGACGTTTAGGACTTCAATTGACCAGTCCCTTATTAGCACATATACATCCTGTGAGAATTACCTCAATATTACCTTAAGTCACAAGCCCCATAAACAGAGATGGATGGAAACGCGCTTCCTGGATTACACTGGTAACCACCGTCCATAACAGCTAATAAATTCACAAAGTTTCTGAATGTTTGTCTGAACAACATCTAGAAGCGTCGCCGTCCTGAGTAAAAGGTTTTGAGTTCATATCAACCTATGGTTGAAGACAAACATTTCCTTATCTGCATTAAAGTCCGTTCATCTATACACGAAAATTTTCCTACAATTTGCAACCTCATGTTTCTTTTAATGATGAAATTGCACGTTTACTAGTAACTATCACTTAGAAACTAACCAATTTCTAACTTGGATATGCACTAATATAATGCAGAAGGGGTTTTTGTGGATATTTTAATATTTTCATAGTCGAAATCATCAGTCAATTGAAGCTAGAACACCATGGAAAACCTGAAAGCACTGGACGGCCGTTTCATCCTATTATGGGACTCCTTAGCAGTACATATCCACGATCCCGCACCCGCGAGATTCGAACCCAGGACCTACCGGCTCACTGGTCTATCGGTTAAGTGATCCGGCGCAAAGCTGGTAGATCCTGGGTTCGAATCTCGTGGATGTGCACTGCTGAGGAGTCTCATAATAGGACGAAACGGCCGTCCAGCACTAATATAATCACTTGAATTTTCCTTTCATAATTTTATTGCCATTCATAATTCATCTAATGAAATCAATGAAAAATAAAAATTACAGAACTATCAAGGATATCCTAATAAGCTATAAGTCATAGAACAAATCCCAACACAACGTCAAATTTCTTTAGATGGGATGAATAATAATTGTTGGAACTCAACGAGAAATAACACAACTTTTCTATAACTCTCTTAATAGTTCATAAGTGACTTATATAAATAGATATACCTATATGTATATATCAGACGAAAAAATTTCCTTCAGGTTTAATAATCATAACAGACATACAAGTCATTTATTTAGTTATGGCGATATGTAGTTTTAAGTTAAGTTCCATCCCCATTGTCAGGGGTTAGAAACAAAGACTGATTATTAGACGAGGTAGCGTGAAAATTTAGTTAAAAAAGTTTGCCATTACTCGAAGCTGATTTTTTTCATTGAGACATTGTGTTAATGAAATACTTTGTTTTGTCCTAATTTTTCATTGGTTAAGGTACCCCAATGGTTATTGAGAGAACCATATAGAGACACGTAGCAGTTGGTGTGTCTAGTTATGTGTGTATATTTACGACAATAAAAGCCTTGAGAGAGAAAGAGAGAGAAAGGAGGGACCACGTACAATGAATTTAATCTTATCCAAGATGACCCTCTCATTTTATTTGTCTCTTGTTCACTAGTTGTTTTCATGTCTGTTATAAATACACCCGGAAATAAAACTACAAGCTCCGCGTCCTAAGTGCGGTCATAAAGCTCAGGTTAGTGAAGTAAGAGACCACGCTCTGTGATTGGTTAAAATAAGCTAACTTAGCATAAACCAATCAAAATGATAAACTGCGAACTGCAGTTCGATTTACCGACCTTGGTTTTTCTTTCGCCCTTTGTAAATTAGCTGTCACTAAAATTATAAAGAGGGTAGAGATTAGAAGGAGAATTATTTGGACCCCTCATTTATATTTTGGGCGTGGACAGATTTACATACCCATTGACATAGAAAACTAATCTGCCTTATCGCCCCGCGTGGGTGATAGATGATAACACTAAATAAATGTTCGACTACTAAACGGGTTAGATACCCTCACATGAAACCAATGATTGTCGATTTTCTATTTTGGATTTAACTGTTATTTTTTTGTAACTATCTCTATTTCAAATATCCTATAACTCGCATTACTGATTACCATTTGGAGTTTCACTAAATATACATAAAAATATATCTGTGGATATTTTAAATCAAAATCATAATCATGCTACATCGACCTACTCTCATGCCTCCATCAATGAGATCATCTTCAAAATTCAAATTATCTACTAATTCACAACATTCATCTCAATCGATTAAAATAGAAAGTCCAGAATTGATTCAACTTCTTGACTATGATGATGATGAAATAGTTATTGTGGAACCTACAGATCCAGATGAAGATCGTATGAAACAGGAAGATACAACATGTGATGATGTATTAAAGAAAGAACAAGAGGATTATACGGAAGAAGATTACAATGAGAATGATGAAGACATGAATTCAAATGAATCTCATATAAAAAGTGAATCTCACATCCCAGTGTCGAATATTAAATTGGATGAACCCACTGGAAATGAAACTGCAGTCACCGTAACCACAGATTCAGTTAAACCTATTGAAATTTTACCTCTGAATGATGCCATTCAGAATTTACTAACATGTATACCACATGGTGCTGCCACTATACAGAATGTTCCACTTCAACCTATACTGTCGAGTAAAGTGAATGGGTCGGGGAGTGTGCAAATGCCGAATGTTGTTTCCAATGCATTGCCTACATTGTGGCTTCATTCTCCTGTTGTGAATTCAACAGGAATGAGTATGCCTAATGTGACTAGTGTGACAGATTTGACGAGTAATATTGTACAGAATACTGCGAATGCACTGAATCCACTTGTTGCTGCTGTGCTTGTGAATTGTGCCACAGTGAACATGATAAGTCAGTTAGCTGGATCAATGTGTACTCCGATCGTGAACAGTAGTGTGATGGATGGTAATGTTAATGGTATTAATGTGAACAATAATAATAACCACACTACTATTAATGGTAGTGTTAGTAGTGGTAATGTTGGTGTTGGTGTTAATGGTGGTGTCAGTGGAATCAACACTGTAACAATTCCTACAGCATCACTACTTCCTAATTTGTTATCTGCTATTCCGTTATCTACGTATATATCGGGATTAGGACTGACTACATCTGGAGGTATAATTACTTCACCAAATAATTTGTGTGATGTTGGTGTTACCAATACAGTTGTCTCGTCTGCTGCGACTCTTAATAATACTAACAATATTAGTGGTATACTTGTGACACCATCGAATGTTGAGAATATTACAGTTTCTTTATCATCAGACCGAAGTTCTAGTCAAGCTGAGTACTTAAATATATCTAATGATAAAAACACTCAGCGTCCTGTTGGTCGTGTAAAACGCTTCAAATGTCCTGTAGTTAATTGCGAAATGTCATTTTACAGTAGATTCAATCAAATGGAACATATACGTACACATACTGGTGAGCGTCCATTCACCTGTCCAGAACCGCATTGCAATGCAACATTTAAACGTAGACGTGATCTTCGTGATCATTGGAGTATGCATCTCTTAGATTGCCCACCTTCAGCTACATTGACTGAAGAAGAATTCAATAAAGCATTGAAAGAAGCTGATGAAAAATATAACGCAATGTATAAGTGGGAAACGCTTGATGTTAACTGTTCAGTAAATAAAGATAGTATTACTGGTAGTAATAATAATACTAATGACAAAAATAATGATGTAAATACTGTAAAATCTGAATCATCTCAATCATCCGTGGTAATTCCTGACCCCAGAGCATTGTTTAACATTAAATCTGTTAGTGCGTTGGGTAGATATCATTGCACATATCCTGGATGTGATAAATCGTATGCTAGACGACATCGCTTGAACCAACATATATCTACACATACTGGTACTGGTCCGATACCATGTGATGCACCGAATTGTAATGTGAGATATTTTTCAGAGGAGGATTTAAAAAGACATAAATTATCTCATCTTTATGCAGCTGATAGAGATTCGCGGCGTCGACATGCTTGTACATATGCTGGATGCGGTAAAGCCTATTCAAAGCTGAACAAGCTCAAAGAACATTTACGATCACATACTGGTGAAAGGCCCTACGTCTGTCGTGAACCCGGTTGCGGTGCTGCATTCATCCGACTATACGGTGTTAAACGTCATGAATTAACACACGTATTCGGTCGTAAACGTGCTGAAAGACTATCTCAAATCCCTAACACTGACGCTAATAGTATGACAGGAACTAGTTTTGACATTTCTGATCCAAGGTTAGATATTCAGAACAATCCAGAAGTAACTACTACTTCACCATATATCTTACCAAAGCCGGAACCAATGGAAACAAGAAATGAGATATCGATAGCACCAGCTATTACGAAAAATCGTCCTCTTCCAGCTATTGCACCAAAATCAAGTGTATCTCTTCCGATGCGTCCGATTTCTCCTATAAGTGGGAATCCAGGAATGAGACGACCACATATCTGTCCATTTAAAGAATGTGGTAAAGCATTCCCAAAACTTAATAAACTGCGTGAACATATATGTCGACATACAGGTGAACGACCATTTGTTTGTGATAAATGTAAAGCATCATTTGTTCGTATGTATGATTTACGTCGTCACAGTAATATTCACCTTCGTGGTGCACAACCAAGAAGTTTATCACGTTTTCTCACAACTCCACAACAAACAAATGAAACACTTGAATCTATTATTGCAAACAGTCAAATTCCTGTCAGTACTACTCCCATAACTACTACTTATGCAACTTATACTACTAATACTATTCCCACTGTCACTACAACGGTTTCTGCAACCAGTCTTATTTCGGATGCTACAAATCCCACCATCTCCACTGTTCCTGTTTCTATCAGTACTCTTAAAGTTGAAGAAGAGCCAGTACTAATCAAAATGGAAGGAGTTACTGAAAAATCAACAAATGTGCGACCATATGATACTGATGATCAGGTAACAGATTGTATTGATAAATAATGTTACCCACCATGAATGATTTGATTATGATTTTAACGGTTATATAATGATCGGTAACATTTTTGTACAAAAAAAAATTACCCACTATTAATTCTCTATAACAATGAAGTATAATAATAATTGTAGTGCTATTTTACGAATGCCATTCATTCATTAACCAACCAACCATTTTAATGTGGAGCAATAATTGGTATTATCACTTTTTTGTTTGTTTTGGTATTTCATGTGACCTTGTAATTTCATTGACTTATTTCTCATTTGATTTTATCGATTAAAATAATGTCTGATTTTCATTTCTTGCCTATTATAATGTATTGATTATTTTTCGGATTCATTATTGACAGTCATAATTGGTTTCTTGAATATATATATACATCATGATGTTGTTACTCCTTGATATTGTTTGGAATACTTTACAGTATGATAATCCAGATATTATGTAAGTGATTTTAGTCTTAAGCAATTTGATATAGTTGGATTCAATTTGTAAGTTATACCATTGGAAATTAAGGAGCACTGGATAACAGTTTCGTTTTAGTCTGGACACTTGGACTGCTGAAAACCTTCGGAATAGGTGTAGCCCACAAAACAACAAAGCCCCTCCACACTTGGTCAATACCCATCTACGAACCCATTAAGTATGGAAGGTGTAACCTTCAAATCTTGTGACGCATGTTTAAAGTTTAGAATTACCAGGTTACCGTCTCGTGCTATAGTTATGACTATAGTCAATTTCTCGTATAGTGTTACAATTATCCAATGCTACTTGTGTTAAATTCACAAACCCTGTACAAAGGTGGGTAGTGAATGTGGTGTTATTGATTTTTAGCCCTTGTCAATCTCTTCTTTTCCAAGCCTATCACTCGAGTTACTTTGGTTGGATGACTCATAGTTTTATTGACCTCTAGATTGGTTTATTTGTTTATTAAACAGATGACCTTCCTCAGTGGGTGTATCGTATCTAATGTGAATTATACGTGGTCAGGACTTGGTTTTTAAAAAAAAAAATTAAACTTATGTTTAATGCTGCTTTGGAAACGTACAGTGAAGACATTTTAAATTCTTGGTTTATCACCGGCAATCTACTACTTTGTTAATCCTCATGCCATAGTAGGATATTTTGAAGGAATGAACATCGTAAAAGTTTATAAGAAAATTAAGGGAGGGAGTGAAGTAGCGTTTCTATATGATTCGATGATTTTTAACATAAGAGGCTTTGAATCTACTATTTAACAGTTGAAGTTCGAGTCATTTGATCTGAGTGAACCACAACCCATTTATTTGTTCAGCAGTTTTGTCTACCTTAATGTTAAAAGCATCACGGTGTGTTGTAGAAAAATACTTCGAAGAACGCAACAATAAGTTCCCTTGTATAGTTTTGTTTTTAATTTGTTGTGTAAGAGTTACATTATGAAACAAATTCCTAGCGTGGTTGGACGCAGTCTACAGGAGACCCTAGATTTAGGGCCAGACAAAGATTGATCAATACGCAGTGATCAGTCAATTCTACAGGACCCGAATAACTCGCTTAACTACTTGTTCTCTTACGCTGAATGATTGTTTTATTTTCTATAAACACTAGTTTGTTCGGAATCGGGAGTTGTTATTACATATTCAGCATCCATTATTGTATTGTATTTATTTCTCTTGTTCTCACTCTTACTGTTTAAGAAACTATTTTGTTTCGTAACACAATTCGACGGCTTTATAGTACCTATATACCTTCTGGTCGCTATTTGGCTTTTCCGACCATCCGGTGACTAGGTTCGATGACTTGAGTCTGGTTCTCATATACTCATATTTATTACTAAATTTTAATCTAGTTGGTAAATGATAATGTAGACAAAAAGCAGGTGAGTTGAAGTTTTTAGTTCGAGACCGTATAAGGTTGATTGTATCTAGGTTTTGGTAGTCCAATATTCTGTAATATTCAGTTGTTTTCTAGTTACTGTTAGTCCGTGGTACATAATATTGTAAAATTGATTTCATACAAAAGATCAATTCTTTAATAAGTAGTGACTTGTGTTCAGTCAAAATTTAATCATATCTAACCAGTCGTCAATTTTTTTCTGGTTAGCGTTTTTTTAGCGAGTTGGTTTTCTGCGGGATGGGGTCGCTAACCCCATGCCCAACCCTCCTCCTTTATCCGGGCTTGGGACCGGCAGTAGCCTCCGGAGGAGCTACAGGCAGCCTATGCTCCATTGGGAGTAGCAGGCGTAAGTGAGTAAGTAACCCGTTGTCAATATGAAAGAATCTAGAAAAAACAGTGCATTGTTTATAAATCCTCACCATATTAAAACACTAATATATAATCGAAGAATATTCTTCTCAATAAATTTTCTTCAGATTCTACAATTATATCATATGAATAGTTCAAAAAGCGGGAAGCTTTAGGGCAGAATACATCGTCTGAAATTATAGTGTGCAATAATGGGATGAATTCCAGAATATTCATCAATGTGACATACCTGTACTGTAACAAATTTTGATATGGTTTCAAGAACGGCCCGCAAATTTGAATCTATTGTAATATGTGCCACTGATGTCGACAGATATAAGTGATATGTAACACCAACCGAAATTGGGATGCCTGACGGCAGAAGATTAAGAAGAAAAGAAAACGAGAACAGAGAATGATTGGTGTGGAAACGAAGGATGAATCAAGTCTGAGACGATTGATTGACATTTTGCAAATGAAGTATTTACTGTATGGTTCTCAGATTTGACTAAGAGATTCTGTAATTTTCTATTCAAATACATTTTGTTGTCCCCACTGGTGATCTCGTTCACTACGCTATCAACAAACCTCGAAATTTGGGTTTAAAACTAGCTTCAATTAAAACCGAATATTGTTTACTGCCCTTACATGTTCATGATTCATGGGGCTGGAAGCTCTGAGTTGATAAGCGAGTAATACGATACAATTTAAAAGTTTCTCCATTTGAGAGACACACATGAAATAAGAGAACGTTGAAATAAAGATACTTCAAAAGATGTAGCCTTGAGACCGAAAAAAAGTTTTTCATGGACTAGACAAATGTATTTAAAATTATAATTAACGATGCTAGTAAATGTATTGATCAACGCGGCCAACAGACCAAATATCAATCTCTTATAGTTAGTTGTAGGAGGAAGCTTATTGGATTTGGAAATACTTGTTATTACACTCTAATCGAGAAAACACTAGATAGCTGTTGTGGACTAGATCGGGATTTCTCAGCCGTACTTCCTCATGACTCTGAACTTGGTCAATATGAGTACATTCAGGTATCGTTCTGGATGGAACCTATATGGTTGGTTAGTTGAAATCCAATGGTTCAATTTGGGTTCATTTTTAGTGTTGAGAAACAATTACTCAATGTCATTTAGATTTAAATGTTATCTTAACAACCAATTTTAGAAGTTTCAGCCATCAGATCCTATTCTGTGCACCTAACCTGAATATCCTGAGCTTAATTCTTTGTGAGATCATACGTGTACACTTATGAAGGTCCCTGAACCTTAATGAAAGGGTTGTCCAGTCTGTCCCGTTTTTTTGAAGAGGTACCTACTTGACATCGTTTTAGGATGAAAACTATGTTGTTACTTCAGGTTCTATTCTAAAGATATTAATAATACTCATTCATATGAATGACTTTCTGATTATTGCGGTTCTTTCTGTCAACATTAGGAATACCTAAATTTAACTGGTTATAAATACCCTAACTATTAAAAAACTATCGACTTTTAATAAATTATTCAATTCATTGGTTAACATCCATTAGTTCAACCAAAAGTATCTCCACGATCAGTCGGTATGTAGCTGCTATAACATTTGAGAATGATGTAAAATGTCTACGTTTATTGTCTACCTAAAATTACTTTAAAGTTATAATTATTCATCGGTTAGAAAATACATTGTAATGTCATTCATTTGCGAGTAGGCGTTTTAAGGTACTTTATATTTTACATAGAATCCTGCTTAGTATCTTTACGGTTAGTCATTTGACTTTCAGCCACTAAGTCCCTGATTCTAACTCTGCTCCACTTACTTTGGTAAAGCAACCAGGTGGTATCGTCAGTCTTCATACTTAGAGTGCCACTCATACACATACACCTGGTTAGTAAGTTCGATTAATTTAGTTTATAATTTAAGTGGCTATATTCACATGTTGACTAAAATGTAAAGTTTTAGTTCACTCTGAATGTGAAAACTGAGATTCCTCCTAGTTTAGGACTATTCAGCTGTGGAATCCCACCAGTGATGGAACTGTACTCCAGTTTCTTGAGAAGAATGGTTTCTCTTAAAGAATATGACTTCTTTGATGTACATTGTCAGTAACTTAATGATTCGTATTCTGATGATTTATCTTTAGTCAAATAGCTCAAAAACTAGGGTCATAAGATTTATGGGAAAATGTGTTTTTAGTTACAAGCAAGTTTTGAAACAAACAAGCAAAAGATTGAAGCTGAAATTCAAAGACCCGAAAAAAGTAGTCAATTTCAGGACAAGGAAATAACCGTACATTTTTAAATACTATGTTAATCGCTCAAGTGTATATAAGTTGAGATTTTTACAAACGTGGTTAGCATCTTTTTTGCGAGTTGGTTTTCTAAGGGATAGGGTCGCTAACCCCATGCCCAACCCTCCTCCTTTATCCGGGCTTGGGACCGGTAGTAGCCCCCGAAGGAACTACAGGCGGAGTTCTTACAAACATATTTACAAGTTTATTAACATAAGATCATTAACCCAAAACTCAACTGTCAACATCGCAAATTTTAGTCAATACATAGTATAATTTGATGACCATCTACTATCACTGGTCATATTCATTTCAATCTGGACAAGGATACACTTCACCATTAACAATTGATCAGATATATTAGTTCGTGAAGAGAACTATTCTCCTCAACCCAATAACTAGGTTTCTTTCAATACTAGATACATGTTATGTGTTTCTACCAGTTAATATATTATTGTTCTTAAATGTAGAAATGTCCACACTTTGATTCAGCTTTACTTTTTACTTACCCTTACCTACGCCTGTTACTCGTGGAGGAGCATATGCCGCACATCAGCACTCTCCATCCAACCCTGTCCTGGACAATCCTTTCCACTTCTTGACAGTTAGCATTCATCCTTTTCATAACTGCTTCTATTCCCCGGCGTAATGTGTTCTTTGGCCTTCTTCTTTTACGCTTCCCTTCACCATTCCAAGTTACGGATTGCCTTGTAATGCACATTGGTGATTTACTTAATGTATATCCTATCCACTTCAAACGTCTTTTCCTAATTTCCTCTTCAGCTGGAAGCTGGTTTGTCCTCTCCCATAAAACGCTGTTGCTGATAGTATCCGGCAAATGGATGTTGAGTATTTTGCGTAGACATCTGTTTATAAATACTTGTACCTTCCTGATGATGGCCGTAGTAGTTCTCCACGTTTCAGCTCCATACAGTAGGACTGTCTTGGCGTTCGTATTGGAGATTCTCACTTTGAAATTAGTTGAGAGTTGTTTTGAGTTCCATATGTTCTTCAATTGTAGAAATGCTGCCCTTGCTTTGCCAATCGTCGCGTTTACATCTGCATCCGATCCTCCTTGTTTATCGATGATGCCTCCCATGTACGTGAATGTTTCCACCTCCTCTAGAGTTTTACCATTAAGTGTGATTGGGTAGGTGTTCTCCGTATTGTATTTGAGAATCTTGCTTTTACTTTTATGAATGTTGAGGCCTATTGATTCAGAGACTGCTACTACATTTGTTCGTGTGTATGAAATAGGAGGGCTAGGTCATCTGTGAAGTCCAAATCATCTAATTGATTCTGAGCTGTCCATTATATTCCGTGCTTCCCCTCAGATGTCGAAGTCTTCATAATCCAGTCAATCACCAGAAGTTGATTCAGCTTACATATCTATAATTTGCTTGATCCTACTGAATTCAAATACAAAGAAAATTTTAAAATGGAATATCCTAAAAGCAGAACTATTTTATTTAAATGATCTTTATTTAATCTAATAAATTCATAGTATGGTTAAAGTTCTTCCTAATGTGAGTAGTGGTCTCACAAAATGGTCAAATTTCTATTTCTTGTCACGAGACAATCTAATTTTATAGTTCATAGTAGGCATTGGTTGATCTTAGACAATTATGGAAATCGGGGAAACACTGGACAATTGTTTCTTTCTAGTATGAGACCCCTCGCCAACACGCATTCATTTCATATGCCAAACAAATATAAGCTAAACAGATGATCAAGATTTACACAGATGTTTGTGATGTATGGTAAATAAGTTAAATTAGTATGTCTTTCTTGATTATCCGATTTTTAAACTGTAAACTCTTGTCCTTAACATATTTAATTTTATACCTAACTTTCTGGATTATGAAGAATAGCTCATCTTTACATTTCAATGTTTTTAAGTTATTATGATTACCCTCTCATCATTATTCTCAGAATGAAGTATAACGATGAAGAAGAGTATGTTTTATAAGCAAAGATGGATAGTGGCTAGCAGTGGAATCCAGGACGCGCGTTTCGTCCAGCCTATGGGACTCATCAGCTGGATGTACCTGCATCTCAGGTTGATGTTCATTCTGGGACTCGAACCTAGTACCGTTCGCTTCAAACGCCATCGCTTTATCCACTTAGCTGCATATATGCCTATAAGAGACTTATCAATTGCAGTCGTAAATATCAATGGGAAGATTCAAATAAGCAATACCAAATAAATCTAAGAGTATGTTTTGTCTAAAGAAAAATTTCTCACTTTTTCTATTTAAAACTAAGAGGAATTACGGATAATCGAGTTAACAGAGATGAAGTAGACAATTCCATAGTGCAGTAACAATAAGGAAAATAGGAACTAGATGAAAACAGTATGAGTTTAGCTTTATGAATTTCGATTTTAAGGGATCAATTAAGAGTTTTTTTGATTATGAACTTTGGATATTGAGGACTGGCTTTTTTTAACGTAAATGCTAGAAAAAAAACCAGGTGTTTTGAAATTCCTATGTATTGACTCTAACCGCCTAGAACCAAACGAAATGCACTACAATACTGAATTATTTGGTGTTGTTGGCCATATTAAAATGGAAATTGATCAGTACTAAAGACTAGATAATGTGACATTGGTTATTATCCAGTGATCAATAAGTGTCATTTATTCTCTCTAGTATGTTATTCTCCTGTGTTTCAAGGTTTCATCAGCCACTCAAAAAGTAAATATCAACCATGTGATCGTAATAATCATTCCACTCTCCCAAAATTGATTTGTTTGTGAAGGGATTATCAGAGCTAAAAGAACGTTTGAATTTCCACTAGATTCGAGACAACTTGCTTCCATAGAGGTGAACTTCTAGCTACTAACTTAGTCATTGAAATAAGATTGACTCAACCGCTGAACCACGTAATAAGCCATATTGAAAGCTTTTTTGCTCTCCATTATAACGTTAGATACCACCTAGTATGAGTTACAATCTCGGTCACTACATTATTTGGTACACCTACAAGTATATCACTTGTATACAATACAATCGTACTTGTGACACACTAATTCAATGCTGTCAATCATATGCAGGTCTTTAGTTATCCGATATCTGACTCCAGTAAAATCATATGCTGATTTTTATCGTGATATACATGCCACCAACCTTCGTATACAACTATCGACCTATTTGCATTAGAGAATAATAAGCTAAATTAAGCCAACTACGTAAATGAAATTCGAATACGTGTATTTCATACACTCATTGATCCAGACAGACAATCAGAGAAGTAAAGTGAAGGAAGCAAAGCAAAACGAATTCGCGCTCAGAGGAGAAGGCGAGTTTGTCAACTCGTTTTAATCAAGCGTGAATCAATATTTATATTCACAAAAAAACATGTTACAGACACGTGATGAATAGGGTAAGCAACTAATACACATACGATCATATGAAAACAGTCAGATTCAATAAGCGAATAATCAACAAGGTCAAAAGGCTTGAAAAGAATGAATAAATCGGTTTGTCCGGAAGCTAGAATAACCTATACGTACCAGCCACTATAAGTCAACAATATTAAAATTCTTTATGAACATATCTATCCACTTAAATTTCACATACCATTTTCTGTAGATCAACCAATTATAACCAGTAACAAACAAATAAGCAAATTTTTAACTGATTGACCATTAAAAGTGAGATAATTTATTGGAAATTAGCCCTAAATGTCCTGGCACAGCTGAGGGAGGGAAGGGTCCTGTTATATCCTAGTGAAGACATAAGTACGGGTAACTTCCAGGACCTATTAACAGACGATTATTCTATATATATTCTTATTGTTTAACTATTGAGTAATTAGATTATATATATATATATATATATATATATATATATATATATTCACCTTATTATAAGCTTCATTTTGATCTATGAATTATTATTAGACGATTTACTGTCCCTAAACTATATTCAGTTTATTGATTATTGTCTCCCATATTCACAGCCACATTTGGCTTGATCTTGCACAAATATTATTTTCTATTTTATGGTGTGATGCGGTCTGTCTGTCTGGTATATAAACAGAGTATGCTTGAAATAAATGATTCGCATAGCATAAGCTGTAATTGGTGTTCTGAACTCAATTGGGAGGGCTAGGCGGACAAGGGACCAATAAGGACGCTAGACTGCTCATACCAGTCAAACGTCATTGTTTTGGCACAGTGTTAAGATTAGACAAGTTGTATTGTGATTGGTGATTAAGTTACGTGTTAAAAAGCTGGACATAAAAGCATAACGAATTGGAAACGGTCTTATCTTATAAAGTCATAACAGTTCCGCCCTGCCTCTCGAGATGTTTTCATATGGTCTCGCGTATACCACTACAAGCAGAGTCCAAGTTACTGCTTTCTCATGACGGGGTAGCTGTTTATTAAATTACGTAAACGAAAAGGGAACGTTCTACAATTAAGCTGAGTTGAGTAGTACGGAAGATTCACCTAGAGGAGTTGGGAAACCGAGATTTCAAACCAATGTTGCACATGGACTCTAGGATCCCAAAGGAACAAATGGTGTACAAAATATAGTTGGTCAACGGTCACCATGGGACTGCATCTTCTAACGTTGTTCCACTGCCTTGTTGATTAGACCCATAAGTCAAAGGCTCGAGGAGTGGCCCTCTGAGAAGACCACCTATTTCGGCTTGGGCAACCGTACAGTACCTTATCTCATACACAAACTCAATGATTTCTGTTGCGCATACTTATTTGGGTGTCATTTTGTACCAATATTTATGTCTTTAAATAATAATAATAATAGTAGAGGGGGGTTTGTGGAGATTTTAGTAATTTTATATAGTTGAGATCATGAGTCAATTGAAGCTAGAACACCATGGATAACCTGGAAGCACTGGACACCCGTTTCGTCCTATTGTAAAACTCCTCAGAAGTGCGCATCCACGATCCCGCCTCACGAGATTCGAACCCACGACATGTCAGTCTCGCGCCAGAGGACTTAACCGATAAACCACTGAGCCGACATCCAACGATGTTAATATCTAAATTCGACCAATCCACCAAATTGAGCAACCATTCACCAATGCCTTCAGTAAGTTGATATCTCTACAACAGACCTGGTTGAACTCCCCTGGTTATTACTTTTCACTACAACTCCAGTCAATACCTCATGAAACCAGTCACTATTGAGTATATGATCATTATCAGAAGGGGGGTTTTGTAGAAATTTTGGTAATTTTATATAGTTCAGATCATGAGTTAAATAAACAAGAAAACAAAGAGAAGAAAGAAACAACGAATATCAAACAAGAAAAGGAGAAAAACCAATGAATATATTCTAAACGTATTATGCATTGATATGTTCAATAATGAAAATGAAAGAAAGCATATTCGAAGCTTATTGTTTAAAATGAATGAATGTCAAATTAAGTCAATTTAATTATGTTGATTTGAATAGAATAAATGAGCTGATATATTATTCGTCATATTAATATTTGTATTATTTAAAAGATTATGTTGTAATTGTGATTGAATTCGTTGTTGAGATTGCTGCTGCTGTTGTTGTTGTTGATGAAGATGTTGAAGTTGATGATGTTGAAGTTGTTGTTTATTTGATAAAATGGATTGTGGAAATGGATAATGAATTGGTTGAAGAACTGGTATAGTTACTGTAACTGGTATTGGTGGTACATTACTATTATTAGTAATAGTAGCAGAAGTATTGCTGGAATCAAATTGTTGATTACTAGATGATGATGATGATGATGAAGAAGAACATGTCACATTAATTGATTTATCTATACTACTTAAATGTATTCTTCTATGTGCATATAAATAACTTTTACTAGTAAAACTTTTTTCACATCCTGGATAATCACATACATATGGACGTTCACCTAAATGTACATTCATATGTTCAGTTAAACTACGTGAATATAAAAATGTTTTACCACAACCATCATGTATACAATGATATTGACGACGTTGATTTTTATCTAAATGTACACGTTTATGTGCAAATAAATTACAACGTCTAGCAAAACGATGTGTACATCCTGGATAATCACATAGAAATGGTCTTTCACCAGTATGTATACGTATATGTTCTATAAGACATTCACGTGTAACAAATACTTTATTACATCCTGGTAATGTACATGAATAACGTTCACGTAATTGTTTTGGTTCATGTAATTGTATATGTGTTTTTAATAATGTTTCATTAGAAAATGTTAAATTACAATTAGGATATGTACATATATAAGGTTTATCAATTGCATGACATTGTTTATGATAAATAAGACTTGTTCGACTAAAAAATACTTTACCACAACCACGATAATTACATGGATGACGTTTTAAATAATCTACTGTAGCTATACGTGATAAATTAGATTGAGATGAATGATTTTGTTGGTATGGATATTGATCATTAATTGAATTACTTATAAAGTTATTAGAATTTTGTATAGTATAATCATTGTTCTTTTTATTATTATTGTTAATAGTATTTGTACGTTCAATGTTTAACTCTAATGGATATCCAATTTCAGATTCTTCTTTAATTTTCATTATTTCTGAAAGAGTATTACAATTTTCTGAAGAATTTGTAAATAAACAAATTGTTGATGATATAGAAGGAGAAGATGATGAAACAGTTATAGTACTAGGATGAGGAAGATGAAGTGAAGAGTTAAATATATCTTGATTATTTGGTTGTAAAATAGGCATTTGATCAGGTGATAGAGCACTTAAATGATCTAATTCCATTTGTACTTTTTTTTGTAATTTTGATTGATCTTGTATATGTATAAGTCGTTCATTTTGTGGAAAAATTGATGAATTACTATTATTGTATGTAGTTTGTACATCATTCTTTATATTTTCTTGATCATTTTTTTGACTATCTGTAATTTTTGAAGTAATGATAGCCATTTCAAAGAATCGACATGATAATTGATTTAATAATTCAGCAACTGCAGCATTCACTAATCCAGCAGCAATGAAAGGTAATCGAATAGATGAAGTATGTATTATGTAATCATTATCAACATCGTTGGAAATGAATGTTGAATCATTATTGTTGCCATTTGAAATATCCGGATTCCCTTGAGGATAAGGGGTCATTCTATTTTTTTATTTTTTGTGTGGATAATTCTAACAGTCCATAAAAATCAATCACTTGTTCTATCGTTTGTATCAATAGTTAGGTTCATATAATTGTTGATGGTGTTGGGGTATTTTTATGCAGACAGTGAAATATTGTATTATAGTTATTGATTTATTTTCTATGGTCCATTTTATTGACGTTGACCAATCAATTCAAAGGCAGTCTGTTATATGTTAGTTTATTGATGGTTGATGCCTGGGTGTGTTGAATGGTCGGTTGTTTGTTTTGGTTGTGTCTAACCTATATCCATAATTCTTAGGGCTAGAGGTTTTTTTTTTAGACCAAACACTAATCGGACTAACTAAACCGTCAACCAACCAACTAACCAAGCAACCAACCAGTAAAACTAAACAACCACTAATATATATACATATACACATGAATATGAAACACATACATACATACAAGCAAATGAAAGACAACAACGATAAAGTGGCATGAGAAAAGAAAAACCAGCAGAGGAAATTTGTTTTCCAGTCTAACTTCATACTATCGTCATCTAGCTCACATGATTCTCCACTCTATAAAATAAGAAACTTGTAGATAGACTAAAGGATTTGTTATTATCACTATGATTAGAATTGTCGTTATACAATTTTTTTTCTGTTATAAGTTAGTTCGTTTTGCCTAAGCAATTGAATCAGTTTTTGACTGACACTATAGTGGAATTGATTCCAAGTATAATTATTTAATAATGAGTATAATAGTCCTAAAGAAATAGTCTCTACGATTCTTCCCTCAAGATCAATACGTGATTGTAACGTGATTTCCACAATTCACTTATAGTAACTAATAGTCATGTGCATACTAGTGACAAACTTCGAGAGGAAATCCCTGGAATTCTAGTGAGAAACTGTGACCAGTGGAGTCCAACCAAGTCTAATATAAGACAGTTATCCATCACAGGCCATGAAACGTGGTCATACAATGTGTGGATTGATTGAAGTTAGGCAATAGTACTGTTGGATACCGGGTTACTGATCTAGGGGTTGAACGTTCGTACACGAGGTCAAAGGTTCTGGGTTTGGTCAAGTCGTGGATTCACTCTACGAAGGAGTTCTAGAATAGGACAAATAATTATCCAATGTTTGCTGTTTAGTAAATATTATTAATAAAGATTACAGATAACAATAATGGAACGTATCCTTTTTTCCTACTACTTGTTATTCAAATCTATCTGTCAAACACAAGATTTGAAGAATTAGACAATTCTCAACAGTGAGAGTAACCTCTACCTTCTCTGTGTAGAATAAGGTTATCGACATTTTGTTACTGGTCAAGAATACGTTACAATTCAATAGTTGAATCATTGTCTGATGGTTACCCTATATTTTCAACTTTGGACAAACGGATATTAGGTTTGACCATTGTTGGAATTAATTAGTACATTTTGTCACGCATTTCTGAAACAGATCATTGATAAAATAGTTTCATAGTGGTATAATCTAATCAAATGACCACTGAGTAGTAATCGAAGTTATATTTGTCTAGTATTTAGTGCTCATAGAATTCTATCGACGAAGTTATATTGTTACCATTGATCTAAGTGACTGAACATCGCGTGGATTATGCTTGATGTAAGGTAATTCGAGGTAGTCGATAGAACATCGCCGAACCTAGGTTTTGTGGTAGTTGGAAATCGTTATTAAGGCGTACCTGCAATACAGAAGGGAATGTTCTCTGGTGAAATTCAACATACATCACCACCAATGTAAATATCTGATTCATGCAAGGGGTCAGTCTCTAACTGAACAACTGTGATGTTTGAATGAACCAATGACTTATTTGTATTGATGACTGTTTTGATTTTGAATTCCAAATACAACACATTCGTTTGAGCTCAACTAATACTTCTTGATTAAATTGCGTTATTCCTGGGATTACTAGTTTATACTACAATTCAAATACTTCTGATTATCATAACAACTCAATGATAGTACCTCATATTATTAAACTGGATGATGTGGCTTCGAGTCCCATTGGGATAATTGATCACCTCACGATTTCAGTAATATAGCCTACTTAAAGATTGTTTCTATCGATGATCCTTATTTGTGTTAAGCCTCATAACTGAACTAAAACAATTACTTAGTACTCCTTGGTTTTTGTCCCACTAGAGAATTCCAGGTTGGCATTCAACCAGTATCCATGATTAATGATTGGATACATTTGGTAGAAAGAGGTCAAATCATTCTCACTGATACAGGTGCGTTCACATTTTTATTTTCTTTGTAAATATTAAATCATATATCATTCCCAGATCATCATTATTTCGATCACATTCTTACTTTTACAAATAAATCAGGAACAATAAACCTAACAGAATGTGGTATTGTTTCTAGGTTATAAGCAACTGACGAGGATCATCTAAGTAGATAATTTCACCTTATTCTTCTACTTTTGTTGTTCTAGTTTTATTTAAACTTATCAGTCGGAAAAACTGTATGAAATATCTACTTCCCACGAGTGCGGGATCGTGGATGCGCACTGCTCAGGAGTCCCACAATAAGACGAAACGGCTATCCAGTGCTTCCAGGTTTCCCATGGTGGTCTAGCTTCAATTGACGAATACTTTCAACTATGATACATCTTTGTATGGTAGATCCTTCGTTTTTGACTAAGTGCTTTTTAATAATTATATCGGGTGTAATCAGCCATGAATAAAGACTTCTTTGAAAGTTAGTCCGAGATGTAACAAATCAATGAAGTAGTGACATTTCATTTCATTAGGTGGAGTTTAAATTATTACAATCTTTCAAATGATTTTAGAATATTTCAGCATTGATCCCTAGTTATGCTTGAACTTATAAAAAAATAGTTGCTTAGTGGATCATATCTACAAGTAGTAAATATGTATGTTGGTCAATGCTCAAACTAATAATAATATACGAGACAATTGAAGCTAGACCACTATGGAAAACCTGGAAGCACTGGATGGCTGTTTCGTCGTATTGTGAGACTCCTCCACAAACAACCCCGTTAATATTTACGAGACTTGTTTTTAAACAAATGATTTTATTTAGATGTTATTTAGTACGTCTATTTATGGATTGTTTTCAATTAACCAGTTAATTAGGTTTGTTTAATGTTTAGAAAAATGAATAAAATGACCTTGTGATAAAATATTGAATATTGAAAATTTGTTATTGAATCCGAGAGAAAAATTAAGTGCATTCACGTGGTGAACAAAGACGCACATATTAAGGACAGATTAACGTATACGTAGAAATATTCTTATGGTAAACATTTAACCAAATTTATGTTTATGAGGTTTAATGTATTTAGCTTACTGTGCAAATCAGAGCAGATAATTGTGGGCGTGCCTGAGAAAATAGTCAATATCATACGGAACTCCTATGATGGACTAAACTGCCAAATCTTCCACGGAGGACAACTCACCGACTCATTCAAGGTAAAGACCAGTGTTAGGCAAGGTTGCTTACTCTCACCCTTTCTCTTTCTCCTGGTGATCGACTGGATCATGAAAACGTCAACGACTGGAGGAAAGCACGGGATACAGTGGACAGACGGGATGCAACTTGACGATCTAGACTTCGCGGATGATCTGGCTCTTCTATCACAAACGCAACAACAAATGCAGGAGAAAACGACCAGTGTAGCAGCAGCCTCAGCAGGAGTAGGTCTCAATATAAACAAAGGGAAAAGCAAGACTCTCCAATACAACACAATATGCACCAATCAAATTACACTTGATGGAGAAGCTTTGGAGGATGTGGAAACCTTTATATATCTGGGCAGCATCATTGATGAACACGGTGGATCAGATGCAGATGTGAGGGCGAGGATCGGCAAAGCAAGAGCAGCATACCTACAACTGAAAAACATCTGGAGCTCAAAACAATTGTCAACCAACACCAAGGTTAGAATTTTCAATACAAATGTCAAGACAGTTCTACTGTATGGGGCGGAGACGTGGAGAACTACGAAAGCCATCATCCAGAATATACAAGTGTTTATTAACAACTGTCTACGCAAGATACTTCGGATCCGATGGTCAGACACTATCAGCAACAAGTTACTGTGGGAGACAACAAATCAGATTCCATCCAGTGGAGGAAGAAATCAGGAAGAAGTGCTGGAAGTGGATTGGGCACAATTTGACAAAATCACCTAATTGCGTCACAAGACAAGCCCTCACATGGAATTCTGAAGGTCAAAGGAGAAGAGGAAGACCAAAGAACACATTACGCCGAGAAATAGAGACAGACATGAGAAGAATGAACAAGAACTGGATAGAACTAGAAAAGAAGGCCCAGGACATAGTGGGTTGTAGAATGTTGGTCGACGGCCCATGCTCGATTGGGGGTAACAGGCGTAAGCAAGTAAGGCAATTGTGAGCGTAGAAATCTTTGAGATACAACTGATAAAGTATATAAGACTAGGTACAAAGTGGAAACAAATGAAATTTCGTCGAGAATGTTTTTATTTATAGATTGTATATGTCATAGGTTGACACCAGTAAGAGTACCAATGGAAATTATGAAGCAATAGACATCTGTTTGTTATTGTATTGAACTGCAAAGCGATGGTACGCACGATAAGAGGTATAAGTAATTGTAATCTGTGGTACAACTTGAATAGAACTGTTTAAATTAATAGTTATATGTCATGGTTATGTCCTGATAAGCTGAAGTTGTTCTATTAAGGTTGAATATTTTTAGGAGTGGTTTGAAGATATTATCCTTGATTCCCCACCTTTAGTTCATAGGCTTTGATCTCACTTGAAGTCTATGTTATGCAATGCTGTGGAGTATCATGCCATGATAAAATACCTCCTAATGACTATTACTTTTACTCTGTAAATTGTCAATATATTACCTGGATAACTGTGACGTTCAACAGAAGTACAAATATGCTAGTTTACGCCAGTTAATTTTCCTTTCTGCTGGAATATTAAAACTTGTTGATAGGAAACCCTGGGTTTCCATCAACTTACCACTTGTTAAAATGGTATGCCTACAGTTTTGATGGAACTGATGTTGATTATTGAACTCAAACCCAAGTTGTTATATCCGAGTGCAGAACAAAGAACGGGATAACTCCCGGAATCTATTAATGGACTAATATTATATATATTCCTATTGTATGGCTGTTCAGTAACTAGATTATGTATATCTATATTCCTCCGATTATAAGCTTCATTTTACTTGTAAATAATTATTATGCGATTTACCGTTCTTAAGCTATGTTCAGTTGATTGATTACAGTCTCTCACTATCACAGCCACTTTGGGACTTGATCTTGTATAAATGTTATTTCCTATTTAATGGTGTGGTACAGTATGTTTGTCTGGTAATATAAACTAAGTATGTTTGAAA